TAAAGCTACGTACATAACATTGAACAAACAACCTTGTAGTTTTAAGAAGATTGTATTATTTTAGTAATGCGATGAGAGAGACAAACTACCAAACGAATTATATGATATTATTATAATACGTAGAGAATATTTAATTTTTGAATAAAAAAAAATATCGGAAGATGCAATTGGCTTGAAAACAAATTTCTTGATATTATTACTTTCATTTTAGAATACGTAATCCATTGTATATTATGAAATATTTATTTATAAACTTTACGTGAATATTGATTTACAATTTTTATATGTTGAGTTAACATGTTCTGTTTTACACTAGGTAATTACATATATTTCATTAGTTGTTAATATTAAAACAATTATAATATTTATTTAAATTTTTGTCAGGGTCAAATATAAAAACGTTTATAATGATGAGTTCGCAGCATGAGTCAAATATTTACTTGTTGGTATTGTGCTCATTTGTTTCAATGAATGCTTATACACCCAGTTTTAATTTCTGTTCTGGATTTAAAAAAAGTTTTTACTAGATTTGACCTTGAATTAAACTGGATGTATAAATCATTGGGAACAAAATTATAATTGTATCATAACAAGTAAATATTTGACTAGAATTTGTGCTAACTCAAGCGATTTTTAAACGTTTTATGTTATTTTGATGTCATAAATAAAGTTTATAGTTGTTTTAATAATATTGCAACAATATTGAATATATGTAATACCAGGTATAAAGAGCTGTATGTTGGGTTGCCTACATTATAACTGCAAATTTTAATTTCTCACTCCAGGTTCTTTGATTTTAAAAACTTTTTACCAGATTTGACCTTGAATTAAACTGAGTGTATAAATCATTCATTGGGAAACAAATTATAATTTTATCATAACAAGTAAATATTTGACTAGAATTTGTAAAGCAACTCATGATTTTAAACGTTTTATGTTATTTTTGATAAATATAAATAAAGATTATAGTTGTTTTAATAATTTGCAACAATATTGAATATATGTAATACCAGGTATAAAGAGCTGTATGTTGGGTTGAGTTTCTACCAAAGAACCCACAACATGGTCATCACCAGAACCGGCGAAAAGTATGGATTTGATAGTAAAATCTTCAGTTTTGAGTGTGGAAGACGCTGTGCCACCATGAAGCTGCATATTTGCATTCAAATGCAAGAAAGCTGGAGCAATTATTCACCCTTCTACACTGTTTAGGTGCTTAGCCTTGACCGTCGTCAGGTGGTGGGTACAGAACAGCTGGCCGCGAGACGTGTCGCCACGAGGCTTCGTCGTCAGAATAATCCGCTTTCAAATAATTGATGTGTAAATTTACGATTAATCCGGGAAACAAACGTGTTTACTATTGTGCTAGTGTGGGATTAAACATACGTAGGAACTTGTAAACTGGGTACATTTGTTATTATGATATTTTACAAACGTACCATGCGTTTTGTAGCATCAATTTCCTACGTCCTGGCGAACGCATAAACACAGGATCGCGAATTTGGTCACACCGATGGATGTTGCACCGATACACAAACTTGTTTGCTAACATTTTATTTACAAGCTATCAAATCGTTTGATTCTATTTAGGTTTCTTTTGATTCTTAGCCAGCATAAGTCAAGATGATGTTCATCGAAAACAATGGGACACCATCTTCGCCTTACTGAATAGTTTAGGAAATAGTGTTTATTTCTACAGTAGTAAGTTTATAATACAGGATCATAAATTTTACAAATTGTGTTAAAATTGCTTTGTTACAGTTGTGCCATGTATAACAAAATGAAATAGTTTGGAACTGGGAACGCAAAGGGTGGTTTTATGTCCAGCTGCACATCGAAGCCAACGTGAACAAGGGGTTGATGAAATACTGGGGAACATTTTTGATTGTTATTGTTATTTATATATTAACATACAAATTATACTTGCATATATATGTTAAAACACTTATTGGTCCTTTGTGGATTGGAAGTAATTAATATGACTTGATGTATGAATATGAATATAATTTATATTATTAATCACTTTTGTTTTATTTTTGTATTTAAAATACACTCTTTATGTCAATTTCAGGTTGAAAATTTGGTTTTCATTCCTGAAACCCCTTTAGCGGCCTTCAGAACTATTGCAACTGGAAGTTCCTTAAACTTTATGATTCTATATTAAATGCACTTCAGAACTACAAAAATCAGCGTTGAAATATTCAAATTTTAAGTTATGTCATTAAAAGTGTCCTTCAAAACGACTTTTAAAAGTTACTTCCTATTTTTGATCGAAGAGCAGGTTAAAGTAATTTAGTTAAATTATTTGCCTCGAAGAACCGGGCCGAACTATTTTGTTAAATTATTTTCGTTCGAAGATGCCTCGAAAAGTTTTCATCACAAAAAGGCAAAAGATTTCCAATTTTTTATGTCGAACGCTGTATTCATTAAATTCGTAAAATAGGGCCTAAATCTGGTTAACGTTAGCAAAAAAAGCTACTAAAATAATCGATGTAGAATTAAATTTTGTATCATAAACCGAAAACAAAAATTTAAAATTCCAACATTTAATTTTCAACATAAAAGAGAAATCTTTTTGCCTTTTTATAACAAAAATCTTTTCTTAAAATTTTTGTGCCATTTTATCATTTTTCAATAAGGAATCCATCCTGTACAGAATTTTTTCAAGGATCAAGAATATGAAGTTATTTTTCTTCTAGCTCATATAGTTGTCGAGATAATTACGATTTAATCTTCTAATTAGAAATGTTGAAAATTAAAATTAGAATTTTAAATTTGGTTTCGAATTCTGATAGATCAATTAATTCTACAATTATTTTAGTAATTTCTTTTGCTAGCATCAACCGTTATGGCCCTATTTTCTGGTAATTAGCCGTATTTAAAAGGTCCAAAATACGCTGCATTTGCTGAATAAAGATTTTAAACATTAATTTGTTTCGTCAACAATTAAGCTACCGCTCTCTTTCATTTGCTCTTCCTCTCTCGCTTCGCGATCCGAATAAAACCTGAGTTTCCCTGACTGTTTCGAGTCCACTTTGTGTCATTTTGCCTCCTCAGAGTCGACAAACAAAGAGATTGAATATTAGATCGCAGAAAGTTGAGGAGGTTGGGATAAAGTTTTCGCGGCACCAGTAAATGTGCTGCCTCTGGTATGACGGACCGAAGCTTAAAACTTCGGTAGTTGTAGTTTTAATTGATAGATGGCACTAGCATGCACTTTTCTCAAAATAAATGTTTTAAAGGATCGTTAAATATGATCGGGTAGAAATAACAGAAATAATTTTAATTAGAAACTTAAAAATATTCTTTATTAAAGAAACACACAAGCATACATTTTGGGAGTCAATTTGTGTAATAATAACAAAAAGTTATTAAAGATAATGAAATTTAATAATAACAATCTGATGCAAGAATGGTTCTTCTACGATATCAGACTCAGGTGCAAAATCCCTAAAAACAAGTTAAAAAATTAGTCCTTCAAACATAAAAATGCAATTTTGGGGGTTAATTTTGGTGAGACAATTACAAAAGTTATGTTTGAAAATGATGTTGAAATTAAATACTTACAACCCGGATGCAAGAATGGTCCTTCTGACGATATCAGATTTAGGTGCAAAATCCCCAAACAAGCAAAATTAGTCCTTAAACATAGAAATGCAATTTTGGGGTTAATTTGTGAGATAATTACAAAGTTAAGTGTTTGAAAATGATAAAATAGCCCAAGTACTACAATTGATGCAAGATTGGTCCTTCTAATGATGTCAGACTTAGGTGCAAAAATCCTCAAAACAAGCAAAATTAGTCCTTCGAACATAAAAAATGGAATTTTGGGGGTTAATTTGTGAGACAATTACAAAAGTTAGTGTTTTGAAAATGATAAAAGAACAAAATACTTACAACCTGATGCAAGAATGGTCCTCTACGATATCAGATTTTAGGTGCAAAATCCCTAAAACAAGCAAAATTAGTCCTTAAACAAAAAATGCAATTTGGGGTTAATTTGAGATAATTACAAAAGTATGTTTGAAATGATAAAGAAATTAAATACTTACAACCTGATGCAAGAATGGTCCTTCTTACGATATCAGATTTAGGTGCAAAATCCCTAAAACAAGTTAAAAATTAGTCCTTCGAACATAAAATGAATTTTGGGGTTAATGAGACAATTACAGTTATGTTTGAAATGATAAAGAAATTAAATACTTACAACCTGATGCAAGAATGGTCCTTCTACGATATCAGATTTAGGTGCAAAATCCTACAAAACAAGCAAAATTAGTCCTTTAAACATAAAATGCATTTTTGGGGGGTTAATTTGTGAGATAATTACAAAAGTTATGTTTGAAAATGATAAAGAAATTAAGTACTTACAATCTGATGCAAGATTGGTCCTTCTACGATGTCAGACTTAAGGTGCATAAAATCCTAAAACAAGCAAAATTAGTCAACTTCGAACATAAAAAATGCAATTTTGAGATTTAATTTAATGAGACAATTACAAAAGTTATGTTTGAAAGTATTAAAGAAATTAAATACTTACAACCTGATGCAGAATGGTCTTCTACGATATCAGATTTAGGTTACCACAAAATCCTAAAACAAAGCATAAATTAGTCCTTTAAACATGAAAATGCAATTTGAAGGTTAATTTGTAGAATAATTACAAAAAGTTATGTGTGAAAATGATAAAGAAATTAAATACTTACTACAATCTGATCAAGAATGGTCCTTCTACAATATCAGACTCAGGTGCAAAATCCTAAAACAAGCAAAAAATTAGTCCTTCGAACATAAAAATGCAATTTTAGGGGTTAAATTGTGAGATAATTACAAAATTTATTTGGGAAAATGATAAAGAAATTAAATACTTACAATCTTATACAAAATGGTCCTTCTACGAGTACATCAGACTCAGGTGCAAAATCCTAAAACAAGCAAAAATTAGTCCTTCGAACATAAAATGCTATTTTTAGGGGTTAATTTGTGAGATAATTACAAAATTTATTTGGGAAATGATAAAGAAATTAAATACTTACAATCTGATACAAGAATGGTCCTTCTACGATATCAAACTCAGGTGCAAAATCCTAAAACAAGCAAAAATTAGTCCTTCGAACATAAAATGCAATTTTTCAAGGGGTTGAGTGTGAAGATAATTACAAAAATTTATTTGGGAAAATGATAAAAGAAATTAAATACTTACAATCTGATCAAGAATGGACCTTCTACGATATCAGACTTAGGTGCAAAATCCTAAAACAAGCAAAAAATTAGTCCTTTAAACATAAAAATGCAATTTTTGGGGGTTAATTTGTAGAATAATTACAAAAGTTATGTTTGAAAATGATAAAGAAATTAAATACTTACAATCTGATCCAAGAATGGTCCTTCTACGATATCAGACTCAGGTGCAAAATTCACAAAACAAGCAAAATTAGTCCTTCGAACATAAAGTAATTTTAAGGGTTAAATTGTGAGATAATTACAAAATTTATTTGGGAAAATGATAAAGAAATTAAATACTTACAATCTTATACAAGAATGGTCCTTCTACGATATCAGACTCAGTGCAAATCCTAAAACAAGAGCAAAAATTAGTCCTTCGAACATAAAATGCATTTTAGGGGTTAATTTGTAGAGATAATTACAAAATTTATTTAGGGGAAAATATTAAAGAAATTAAATACTTACAATCTGATACAAGAATGGTCCTTCTACGATGTCAAACTCAGGTGCAAAATCCTAAAACAAACAAAATTAATCCTTCGAACATAAAAAGTAATGCAATTTTGGGGTCAATTTATACGATAATCATAAAAGTTATTTAGGAAAATGATAAAAGGGAATTAATTACTTACAATCTGATACAGAATGGTCCTTCTACGATGTCAGACTCAGGTGCAAAATCCTAAAACAAGCAAAAATTGGTCCTTCGAACATAAAAAATGCTATTATAGGGAGGTTAATTTGTAAAGATAATTACAAAATTTATTTGGGAAAATGATAAAGAAATTAAATACTTACAATCTGATACAAGAATGGTACTTCTACGATGTCAGACTCAGGTGCAAAATCCTAAAACAAAGCAAAATTAGTCATTTCGAACATAAAAATGCAATTTAAGGGGGTTAATTTGTGGGAGACAATTACAAAAGTTATGTGTGAATATGACAAAAATTTAAATACTTACAATCTGATGCAAGAATGAATTAATTCTACGATGTCCCAGGCTCAGGTTCAAAATCCTAAAACAAGCAAAATTAGTCCTTCGAACATAAAAAGCAATTTTGGAGGTTAATTTGTGAAAATTAAAAGTTATTTGGGAAAGTGATAAAAAGAAATGAAATACTTACAAAATCTGACGAAGAATGGTCCTTCTACGATGTCAGGCTCAGGTGCAAAATCCTAAAACAAGCAAAAATTAGTCCTTCGAACATAAAATGCAATTTTGGGGTTAATTTGTGAGATAATTACAAAAGTTATGTGTGTGAAAATGATACAAAAGAAGTTAAATACTTACAATCTGATGTGCAAGAATGGTCCTTCTACAATGTCAGTCTTCAGGTGCAAAAATCCTAAAACAAGCAAACATTTGTCCTTCGATCTAAAATGCAATTTTGGGGTCAATTTTGAAATAATCACAAAAGTTATTCAAGAAAATGATAAAGAAATTAAATACTACAATCTGATACAAGAATGGTCCTTTCTACGATGTCAGACTTAGGTAAATCCCTATAAGTGCAGATTGATGACCCGCTTCCACATCCACCTGAGGTGAAAACAAACTTCATTAGTATAACATCGAGCCAGAAGTAATACAAAACGAAGTATTGCTGAAGTTTAGGAGTGTTCTTGGGGTAGTTTAAGTTGTATTTCTTATTTACCTCTTCTAAGGCTCATTCAACACAAACATTCTTGTAAAGGTTATATGTATGTAGGACAGTAAAATACCACTTATTTCCATTTAAGTGCTACAGTGATAACCTACACATCGTAAAATTGAAATAAATAATTATATAAGTTATTAAATTAATTTAATAAAGACAAATGTAAAACTTTATATATTTATGTTTTATGTATTATATTTTATGTATTATTGTGTCGATTGCACGGTCGATTGTGTCAACCTACACCGAGGCTTAGTTAACACACATGTTGTCTGTAAAGCGTATTTTACACTTGATAAAACACGTTAATGTCAGTAAACAACTTATACTTATTTCCATTTCAGTGTTACAGTGTTATAATTGTAACACCACACCTTACAAAATAAAAATAAATAAATACCTCTGGGCCTGTCAAAATTTAATAGAATCATTGAAATCGTTGAAGAAGCATGAAGTTCACAGCTGGTCCAAGATATCCGGCTCGTCTCGTTAAAACGTTAAACCTAAAAAAATAATAATTTGCCTTTGAGTTCCACAGAATTTAAATCAATTAACTCTACACCACAATCACTTATTATTAAATGTTAACCAAGTAAAATTATTAAGAAACGCGAAGAGTATCTATATAGATGGACTGATGAACAAAACAAAACGCATGCCGCACCACAACTAAACGCTCGACCGACTAAAAAGATAAACAATTGATAACCGGTACATCGAAGATGATACCAACCAGCGCTAACAAGTTCATACAAGCAAAGATTGAAACAAAATAAACATGTTTTTAAATTGTGAAATAATATAATATTAAATTGAAAATATTGGCCAGCATTAAAATTTTATTACTTTGTAGGGTAAATCAGTAACTTCGGAAATAAATGGTATAATTTTCGGTTCACCAATCTTTGCGCTGGTTTTGTGCTGTTAAAGTTGCCTAACGTGAAGTAACATTTTAAATTGGTGTAGCTGCGTATTCCTTGGTTTGCACATTGTATTTTAGCGGGATTATTTTGATAATTTGTTTGAGCCAACCATAGGGGGCGGCTATTTACAACGTATTTCCACTGTATTGATATTACATATAAAAATTACTATAAACCCTAATAAACTAATGGCTCAGATGACATCCTACTTCTTATTGCTTTTGTTTGCACCTGCTGAAATTAAAACGATATCAACGCTCAAAATTCTAAAATATTAAAACATGAAAAAAACTCAATTGATTACAAATAAATATTTAATCGCTCTCTAATGCGTCTAGTGCGTCCTAGTTTATTGAATAAAATAATATTTTCCACAACCTTCTAGATTTCGGTATAAAACCGTAAAACCCTAATCATAATTGACCTCAAAGTAACACTAGAGATTAAAGTATTCAAACTTGAATAAATTAGCATGAATTTTTTTAATTTGTGTGCAATCATCTGGCTGTGCATGCAATGCGTGCGTAAAATATACATTAAAACATTATGACTTAATTAAATCGATGAAAGGAACTCTGTGTTGCTGGTCACATATAAATAAAATGGAATAAGTGTGTTTGCACTTTATTTATTTGGTCATTACATATTCTGATTGAAAGATTGAAGAAAATGATCATAAAAAAGTGAGCGAATGGTGTCGCCAGACAATTTTAATGAGTGATTTAGACGAGCACAAAGCGACTCTCCAGAGACTTCTATCGGGATGCGACCAGACGCAGGGGCGGCGCGCGTTCCACTTCGACAGTTCCGCGACTGGCGCTAATCTCGTGCCGAAGCGGGCGCACTCATCCCACGCCCTCCCTTCGCACTGTGACTGGAATGGTCTGGGCGCCGGGATGAAAAGCAGTAATCTCTCGTTTTCGCACCATCTTTGCTCAGCGCCTAGGCAACGCCAGCACAACTAAACCAATTTCAACTTTACAATCCCAGCTGAATGCCGAGCAAAACGAGCAACCCGCAGCGCTTTGCCCGTGCCAGGCGCGGTACGTTCGGTTGCCTATTATCGTCGAGCTTATCAGCCGAGAGCCGAAAGCCTGAAGCTTGAAGTGTAAAGCCTTTCCACTTTACGTTTACGTTTACGGACGCGGCGCGCGGTTTAAACGTTTAATGAGCGAGATCACTCGGCGAAGATACGAAGATATCTTCGCACACCAACGCGTATCCAATTTAGGCAAAAATCCAAACCACAAAACTTGCCACCGTTTTTAATTTACTTTAATTAAATGTCACAATAGAGTTTAATGAAATTTTAATATTTCTATGAATGGAAATGTGCAAATGGTGGATTGAATTGTGTGCGCAATGCAGGCATGATGAAAGGACACATTCTGGACACAGTTTAGTTACTGATGAGAGTGACAGACTGATACGAATGGTTCGAATACAAATGGAAAATGCGACGAATCGGGGATCGCAAATGAAATGGCACAGCGCTGAATGGAAAATGGCAAAACTCAAAATGGAATTCTTATCGCCGCTTTTTCATAACACGCTGGACTGGGACGGTCGCACGGCCGAATGAACAGATCACGCACAATGGCAC